ACACTATACATAATGATTGAGTCATTATTCAAAAACCTAATAAAATCATCAGAATCAAAGATATTTAACTTTATTTTGTGAGAAGTAAGCACCATTAAAATTTTTAATTTAGAGACTGACATAATCATACTTCACAGGGAAGCATTTGAGTCTGATGTAGGCAAAATTAGCCCAGCTAGAGACCTACTGAAGAGGAAAAAGTAAATAATGAAGATATATACTAAGGTGGTAACACAGGGGAAAGGGGGAAAAAGTGTCCAGGTCTTGGTTCCTGACTGAATATAAAATGTGCCAGAGAGAACATTGGAAGTTGAAGCCATCAAAAAAGATAAGCTCAAGGTTTGTAGAAATATGCCTGCCCTTTGACCTAATTATGCCTCATCCATAATTTGAGACTAAGGAAATAAATTCCCCAAAGGCAAAATCTCTTTCTACATTTTTCACAGCTATGTTCATTGTAACATTATTTATAAAATTAAAAATTTGAAAACAACCTAAATGTTCATAATATGAAATGATTTAAGTAAATTGTAGTGCAGTGAGATTATAATGACATTATAAGATTAAGTATAATTTTGAAGGTTAAAACTAAACCTTTTAGAGAGATATGTATCCTGGTTGGAAAGAACTAATGCCTTAATTAATATATGAAGATTAAATAAAGCCAGAGAAATTTTCATTTGGACAAATTAATCCTAAAATTTCATGAAAAGTAAATATATAACATTTATTATGAAAATTTTATAAGGAAAGAGATTGCACTAATAGGTAGCAGAATATACTATTTTTACAATTATAATATCAAAACTGCATTTGCGGCACACAATAGGCACCTCAAAGAAACAGATTGATGTCCAGAATAAGTATAACCCTATGAAACTGCAATGTGTGGTGTATAACATGAGAAACCAATGGAGAAATTTGGGGTTCTTTCAGTGAGTTGTAACAGAATAACTGACTATGCATTCAAAAGAAAATTAACTGAGTTATAATTTAAAAATGAATCCTAGCATAGTTAAAGATCTAATAATTTTTTTAAAATCCTTATCAGTAATAGATACAATGAAGGAAGACAGAAAATTCAGAAGACTTCGTGAATGGCTTTGAGGCGGTGAAAATTTAAAACTTTATGCAATGAAACAGTCCATAAACGAAATCATGGGAAACATGACTGGAAATTATGTAATACATTTTATAGTGTTAATATGTCTAATATGAAACCCCAAACTTTTAAAAAGACAAATATCTCAAAAGAAAAGTAGGACTAGGATTGAGCACCCATAACATAAAGGAAAAACTCAAATTGTAATAACCCCATGAACTCAGTCTAATGAAAAGTCATAAGACTGAACTAGAACAACCCACATCATATTTTTCTTATCAAAGTGGAAAGATTACTTGACAAAGTCTAGTCTAGTATTTGGCAAAGGTGTGAGAAAACACACTTGGTAGGAGTATATATTAATAAGCATTTGAGTATGCAATTTGGCAGTGTATATGAAAATTTTAAATGTTCCTACTGAATGCCTCAGTAACCTCACTTTTAGAACTTTCAACTACATTTGTAGAGACTTATTTGGTAACTACCTATCAAAATTTTAATGGTCATTTTCTTTGACCCAAACATGTCATTTCTAAGTGTATATTCAAAGACACGTGCAAAGATAAATAGGGCAGCACTTTGACCATAAAAAGGTGGCATTACCAAAGATCTAGGGAAGAATGAAAGAATAAATTATAAACTATGTGGTCACTAGAAAGAATGGAATAAATCTCTAGGTAGTGATATAACATGTATAATTACATTAAATTTTAAAGAGATGGGGTGGAAGTTCTTGCATTTTGAGTTCTAAAATATATGCATGTGCATATAGAGATATTACAATTTATACATATGAAAAAGGACAGATATGCACCTACTTGTTAATGATGGTTTCCTCTGAGAATGGCATTAGATGCAAGAAAGAGTATGTATGAATTGGATTATTTTTTACTTTATAGATATAGGTGTAGAGGTGGGATTGGGGATGATTTTTTTATTCTTTTGATATTTTCAGCATGTCTATTTTTAAGAAGGAAGGTAATTTTTTGTATTGGTTATTTTCCTGTTGCTGGGACAAAATACCCAGCACCCACAATTTAAAGGAGAAGAGGTTTATTTGGCTCATAAATTCAGAGGGTTCAGTCCATGGTTAGTTGACTATAAGGCAGAAATGGCATTATGGAGAAAATCTGCTCAGCTCATGGCTATTAAGAGAGAGAGGAAAAAGAAGAAGGAGGAGGAGGTGGAGGAGGAGGAGGGGCAG